AGAGAGAGAGAGAGAGAGAGAGAGAGAGAGAGAGAGAGAGAGAAGGAGGCTCAGAAGAGCATAAAGATTCACTGATAGGAGAACTGTCCCTGTTGCCAAAGCAGCAGACCCAATCCCTCTATCTAAGAGTTTTTGTTGTTAGTTGTGAAGTTGTGTCCAACCCATCATGACCCGATGGACAACATTCCCCTGGAGTTGCTCATAGTCACCTGTGTGACTAGTCATGTGCTTCAGCAGAAGGCTGAGGAGAACCCATGTCAGGATCAACAACTGAAGGTGCATTCCTTTCAAAGCAATGCAATGTGATGCTGACAGACATCACCTGAACTCGGATATGTATCCAGGACATGCCCCATCTCATCACTGTATTCTGCACTACATGGAACCAGCACACAGTGGAACAGGGAGAGCCCCATGTTTGTGTTGACACCAAACTGCTTCTCACAACTGCACTGCACAGAAAACTTCTCTGTGGCCAGGTTGCCTCCATTTTAGCTCTGCATGGCCATTTTGTCTCTCAGCTTTCATCTTGTTTCTACAATTAGAGCTATTCCTATTCCCCAGACTTGGAAAATAGGTTCAAAATTATGTGTCTCAAGCAAATGCGGTAACATCTCCATCTTCCCCTATTTTTGTCCCAGCATAAAGTCCAAGGCTGTCCTTCCTGTAGTGTGCATCCTGTAGTGTGCATGCCAGTGGTTCTAAGACTTAGCCACCGGTAATGGCAAAACACACATAATTCAAAAGGCATAGCTAGCGGCATGTTTGGGTGTGTGTCCAGAGGAGTAAGAAGGTGCCTCTGTCCTGGAATGGCACCCTAGCTTTTAGCAAGAGGGAGGGACTTCCAAATTCTGCCCCTCCACTGTAGTGTGGATCCATTTGAAGTGGCTACAATATATATTGCTGCATAGTAAGCCATTGACTGGGTAGTCAAGTCATGTTTTGGTCTAAGAACATGGCCTTTTGGGATGGCTACAAGAATGAGAATAATGATTTATCCTATCCCCTTGCAAGAATCAATGGGTTTCAACCTATCCTTTATGTCTCGTGAAAGCATGGTTTTGTAATCTGGCTTCAAACAACTCATTTAACAGTCCTCACCTTGGTAGTTGCTCTTGCTGCCAGTGCACTTTATTCAAAAGTAAGTCCCACTGAGTTCAGTAGGATTTATTCTCAGTCCTGGTATGTGAGTGTAGGATTGTATTCTGAGCTGCCTCAGCTTTTCTAGTGAATGTAATTGTACAATTAGAAGAAAGAAAGATATGGCCAAAGTGTCTAAAAACAGAGCTACTGATCTCACAGAAAGAACCCATATGCAACCAATCCCTGAACGTGCATCAAAATTAGGATTACTAACAATGCCCGGAGTTTTTAGAAATTTGTTTTTCTTTTAAAATATATTTACAGCTGCATATAATTCACTTACTTGAGAACACACAGAGAAAACGCCTGCCTTAGTATTTTAGATTACACAGCAAAGTTGATTTTATTTCACACTATAAACGAAGAGCAAAGCATAGCGTCAGTCTGTCAATTTCTATGGCTAACATTATCTTTGTCACCAAAGGAACCCCATGTTTCTTGAAAAACAGAACCTTGTTAATAATCCATAGCAAATTCCAAGTGAGTGTCCATAATCTGAACCAGCTTCTCCAGTCGTTTCTTTAACAGAAGCTTGAACTCAACAATTCACATGTTATCATGGTTGCCTCTTCGGCAGGAAAATCTTCACCTAGTAATTTCTGGAAAGTAAACTTCTTAAATTTGCAGTAGCAGTCTTGGCCATCTTTTGTTGTTCCTGTTTGTTTTGCAGGGTTGGTAGCCATCTTGTTAAAGGCCCAAAAGCCTTCCCTGGATCTCAGAATATTCAGTAGCATTTCCAGTGTAAAAGATTAACATAGAAAAGGAGTATGAAACACAATTTTAAATAGGACTGTTCAAATCCTTTGAGTGCTTATTTTTTAACCATAACTCTCAGGATTCCACATTTTGTTTAGCAATAAGTTCACTCCTAAATGCATGCAGCTACAGTATGATCAGCTAAAGCTGTGAGAGTTAAAGACAATTGAATGACATTTTCTTCAATGAGTTTACAGTTGAAATCCCTGCCCAGAGTGTATGAATGTTGAAGTGAAGGATTAAGCAAAGCCTTTTATGTTTATTAACCTCAGATTTGTTTTTGCCACAGGGCTTACTTGTCAAGAAGACACAAATGAATGTGAAGAGAGTCTTTGTTTTCCTGGTGTCTCATGCACAAATGCCATGGGATCCTATGTATGTGGCAGCTGCCCCAGTGGGATGATTGGCGATGGAAGAAAGTGCAAGAGTGAGTTTTCTTTGGCTTGGTTATGTTCTATAATCAACACAAAGCAGGGCTTCATGAACCCGATTAAGACCCATTAAACATCACCAACTGGGGGGCAGGCTTTGGCATTTCCAGTGCCTTCTGTCAGGCAGCCCATATAGCAAAATGTCAGAAAAAAGGAGGAAAAGCGGGTCGTGATAAAAAAAGAAAAGTTCTGCTCTTGGTAGCAGGCTCAAAATGGAGGGCAAGAGCTGATACGCAAACATAATTAGGCACAGCAGAGATTTCAGGCAAAGCTGAAGGGCAAAGAAATCACAATGCCTGCTCCTCCTTTCATTTCTTGTTGGAGTAAGCTAGGTCAGTCATTTTCTACACCTCCTGTACTGCTGATGTGCCTACTAGCAGATAGACAGAAATGTATGTGTAGCCCGTGCAGCATGCTCTCTTCTGCTTCCAGGGGAGAAAATCAATTTTGCCTGAAAACCTGTTCCACTGGAAAGGTGTGCTCTATGCCCTGTGCTGAAATAAAATTAAACATTCTCAGATGCTATCCTGAGATAAACTGAAAGCTGCAATCTACATACTTGACATAAGTTTGCAATGGTTGTAATTTTTGCACAACAGAAATCTACTTCTTTGAGAACAAAAACACAGTACCAATGTTTATGTAGAATTTAAGGTAAAGCAGCAATTAAGCGTGACCACTAAGATCGAACAACAAACCATAAAATGGGGAAAAAAGTTTTTTTTCATCTGCCATCACAAAGGCAATGGTGGATGTTAGGCAACATTTTCGAGGAGGCCCTGTTATGATGGCCTAAGAGAACCATTTTGGGCATATGTGCAGTATAGAAATTAAATAAGCAAATGTTTGTGCAGACAGAATATTTAGCAGCTCTGAGTAAGGTTTATAAGTGTGTAGTAACTTCCAAGCCTTTCTCACACATCTAAGCCTACATAACCACACTACTACCAGCTCAATCACCTTATTCTCAGTGCAGTCCCTAAAGCTATGGAATAAATATCTCTGGTTGTTCCTGAACTTCTATCTGTGCGGTTTGTTTCTCTTAAAGTCCATTATTTCCTGCTGGAAAATGGCAGTGCTCAACATGGACTCTTCCCATTGTTGGTTGAGGCCCTTCTTCCCTGTGTCAACATCATTTTTCTTAGTTGGCAGATGATATGTATTGTTTCACAGTGTTGGTGTACTCCACCCCCCGTGCATGAGGTCCAGGAGAAATGTTTGCATTATCTCCAGCTAATGGATATTTCTGAAGATTGCCACTGTGACTGAATAACACAGATGCTCAACACAGCACCTTGCTTTCTTATGGTATTCAGTGATATTATGGTCTACTAAATCATTTTTTTTCAGCTGCATATTACTGGATTTCTCTCTGTAAAGAAAACTTGCTGTTGTGGTCAAATTATCTTATCTCCAGGTATAGCAGTAAGATGGGTGCATTAAAAGTCACAGTTCTACCAAAATTTAATGTCATTTTCTCTTACTAATGGACATTTCTCCAAAACAATGAGTCAAAGTGCATGCTAGGCTGATAACAAGATGCTCCCTGTTATTACCTGGGAACCTTTAATGCAGAAAGCTATAATGGCATTTAGCAAATAGGAAAGTCTCCCCGCCCCCCCCCCTTTTTTTGGTAAATGATGCTAATCAGCACATGCACAGTACCACTGGGTAACTAAGGTTGTACTTATCTGGGAATTAATCTCGCTAAACCCAGTGGAGTCTTCCAAGTAGACATGCATAGGTTTCTGATGAAAGCTGATTAAAAATCAATGAAATCTGCTTAAGAAGCCACAGCAACACAATTCCACTGAAGGTGGTGTTGCTCTGTGAAAGTGCTAATAAAACCATGGCTATTTTTTAAATTCCTTAGGCTTTTTTGAAAAAAGTTATCTATCAAAGTCCTCTGGAACTGCTGGATAATATTCTTCAGTCATCTACTGAAGAATATTTGACAAAATGGCCTTCCCAATTTCACTATCCTTGAATGACATGGAAAATTTCAGATGCTACTGTAAATCCACTTTAAATTATTTGAATGTAAGTGTTAGCAAAAAAGAAAAAAAAACCAACTTGCTATATTTCTTTTTTATCCTGCCATCCTCTCTTAGCCCACTGTTTCCCTTACCTACTAGTATGAACTAGCACTGGGATTTCATTCAGCATTATGTGTCCTGGACTTTCTTAGATTTTGATTTATTTATGTTTTATTTTTTGTTCCACTCAAATCATCAGAGAATTTCTCCTTCCTAATATCAAGCAAAATATCCCCTCTGTCTATTTATTGCCAACACATAACATAAGGAAGTTTGGAAGGTCATTTTTACACAGATAATTCTGCCATATACTTATATAACTTTTATGAACTAAGGTTCAATAATAAGCAGTGTTCATTTCTCCTTACCTACTGTTTTTGTTTGTTTTCGTAAGTGGTTCATGTCTAGCCAATCTGACTTTAATCTGAATACAAAAGCAAAGGTCCACAGTGGCAGATGATACCTTTCCATATCTTATAGGGAAGACTGACAGTATCTTTTCCCATTCCTTATAGGAACTAGCTGTATCAGTAAGGAAACAAGAAAGAGCAAATGGGATGGTAGTGTGGGGAGTGAGAAGGAAGGCTGCTCTGGGCAATCATTCTCAAGGACTGCTGGATGGGTTTCTTCAGAAACAGAACTGGGATTTGAAGTAGATCAAAGGGGAGCTGTGGAGGTTGGGCCATGCCATGAGACTGTGATGGGAGAGGCAAGCATGCTTATCTGAAGGTCCGACAGGTGGGCAGGCAGTTCCTGGGAATATTTGAGATATACAGTAGAGGGGAGGGGACCCTGCACATGGGAATTCCTCAAATGTAGACCAGGCAGCCACAGCTCTTGACCCCATGATGATGCATCAGCAGACAAGGGTGGCCCAATTAGATAACCGGCACATTGCAAGGAGGCGTGCTCACTTTCGGAAGTCCGCTCCCAAAGGGATGAGGTCCAGAGAAGCTCATAAGGAGGGCTCCTGGAGGTGATTACTAGATTGGGATCAACAAAGCATGCCGGGGATGCTCAGAGAGTCATTCTGGTGATTTGTGCTTTTGGGTCAATAAAGACCTCTCTGTGGCTTCTGAATGCTTGAAGGAGGAGCCTTAGCTCATGAGAGGCAGGGACTGAAAGTTACGGTCTGCAATTCATCAATAAGTGGGGAGTTTCACCTGCCATCCTTCAGTTGTGTCAGAGAAAAAAGTCTTCCTGACTGGCAAGTATAAGCAGAATCTTCTCCTTTAAGCAGCAAATGGAAGATCAACACGCTCTGCCCCTTTGGGAAGTTTCAGTGTTCCAGGTGGGTGCTTGATGGAGCCCATTCTCCACCCCTCCCCACCAAGTCTATCACCTTGCTGCTTGTGCATCCTTGTTCTGGAAAAAAAGTGATCAGTGACATAGCTGGGATCACATTATATTTAGATAGGGGAAATATCTTATACTAAACTTAATAGAGAAGCAAGATCTTTCCTGTCCATAAATGTTGTATTCTCTGATGGCTGCTAGGAAGACTGTTCAATCACATTAGTATGAAATAACTCGCCCCTATCTTGCCCAGTCCTGAAGATTTAGGATGTAGTGCTGATGAATCATACACACCAGCTCTAAACCTTAGAAGGTTGACAAAAGGAAAACTTCATTTCTGAAATATGGCCGCTGTTCTTAACTTATACTAACATTATTCAAGCACATAATTGATACCACTGTTAACATGAAACATATATAAACTAGGCAATATAACATATAAACTAAGCCAATTCTGTCTTATTCATGAAGCTGCATCCAATCGTGTCTGTCTACCAGCTGAGCCAAACAGATTCTTCCTAGATTGCCCCCACCAGAGCAGATCATGGGTTGCAGGTGAAGGGTAGGTGAAAACCCCCTTGCTGGAGTAGAAATCCAGGTACAGAACATGGATTATATCAGTCTCTTAATCTTATTGTTCTCTTAATTCAAGCACACTTACTCATATGATGACTCTTGGTTAAACACCTGGTTACTTTTGTGTGTGCTAAGCCATAATGTAATCAAATTTTGCTTTTCTTCTAGTGTCTCCACTCTTCAGACCTTTAAAACTTGATTAGTTTAGAGAGTATGCGTACTCCAACTTTTATTGTGGAGTTCTTTTATGGTAGATTTTCCCCTAAGACAAACTTATTATTTCCCTTAAAATCAATAAAAATAAGGTTACAAAAATATATCAGTAGAGGAGCACTAAGTATGTGTGTGTATGGATTAACCCTGACCCCAAGAACAGAGTGTGATGCTTAGAGCTCCCTGAGCTGGTATTACAGTGGGTGTTTAATGAATCATTCACTTCATTATGCATAAAACAATTTATAAACACTCCTGAGGATCTAGCCACCTGCCTTCCTGATTTCTCAGCTCATGTATACATGTCTATTAACCTTCAACACAGAAGAAGAAAACCGAATTGCATGAACTGAAGAGGGAATGGCCAAGAGCCTCTTTCTTTTCTCAATAATAAAAGAGAACAGCAACTTGTCTGTGCAGGCAAAACAACAGCTTACAATTGAAGAATCCTAGAATCAATGCACTCTCTGTTGTCAAGTTGATTAAATTTTCCCTTGGTTAAATTTACAATTTTTCCTGATATAAACTGTGCTCTAGACTTTTACTTGTTTTAGAGCATTTTGTGGCTGCCTTGAAGTGCATTTGTGTTTTTGTGTGGATTAATTCTATTAAGCGTGACTGTAGAAAGGAAGATTCAATTAAAGCAGAAGCAAAATCCTGTCCTTAGTTAACATGCAGTTGCTTATTTGCACACACTCAGGATTTTTAAAAATGCCTTTTCTGACGTAAGAGTTGTACACAGCCGAAATAAACAACTTCACTGGAGTAATGAAAATGGTTATTAGGTGCAAACTTGCTTTTTCATGGAAGAATTGCTGCTGCCTTTTCAACTTGGCTTGGGATGGCATTCTGAGATCAAGAAGAGTTAGTGTTCTAATAGCTGAAACAGATGTGATGCACAGGACTCGTAATTGGACTGCCTGGCTTAAGAAACAAACAAATTTAAGAGCAGCTTTAGGGGGCTCCAATTTTGATTAGAGCAACAGCCCTGGGAGAGGCCATGTTTAACCTCCCTTCCCTGTTCAGGATGGTCCTGCCACACAGTGGAATAGCTGAAGATCTAGCAACAGGATGGGTGGAAAGATCTCCATTTCCAGTATTATTGGAATATTAGATGTTGCATTGTTGCTTGTGCACCACAGTAACTAAAGAGCAATTTTATCCATGTTAGTGGTACAAAGCACATTGCCGAAAAAGACTTTGCCATGAAGCATCTGAGCTGCATCCATGAATAGGAGGTGAAGGCGAAGGCAAATAGAAGAAGGATCTTCTCGGTGGCTGCCCCCCATTTATGGAACAGGCTCACCAGAGAACGTCTTCTGGTGCCAACATTGTTCTCTTTTTGGTGTCAGACAAAAATATTTCTCTTTTCCAGATATTTTAATAACTGATTAGTAATGGTTTTTAATGCTGATTTATATGGTTGTCCTCCTCACTTATTACATTCTTAAATGGCTGCCTTTATATAGCAGCTGTTGTTGTTTTATATGATGATTTTAATGTTTTAACTGTTGTGATTTTGATTATTGTTGTAAGCTGTTTAGACATTCCTGTTAGAATAGTTGGTGGCACACAAATGTAAAAATAAAGAAACAGCTGTTACCAAGTGTTGGCACAATGGCTGTTGCTTCGGTGGAGTGGTGGTGCGTGTGGTGGTGACCTTGTATTCTGCTGCTAAAGTTTGGGCCAGCAAATCAGCCCGGTTTCCTTCTTCCCCAAGACTCGATTTGACTTGGCGCAACACTATGGATGACTGTGAAGATGGGGTTGAGTGTCGTCCCTTCGCTAGCCTCAATAGCAGTGGCTGCTCTTTTGTAACCAGTACTTCTGCCTCACCAGGACATGTAGTTCATATACCTAAACTTGCTACACCACAATAAACAAAGTTCTGCAGATCTTTGTGCTCATATATTGGAGATGCTGAAACTCAGCCCAAGGACGGAATTCAGTTTTGGAGAAGCTCTTGGGGCTGCAGTGCAGCAGAAAGGGAGCCAAAGATGAAAGGGGTGGGGGGGGGAATGACAGATTGGGACCCCAGGCAGGTCATTCTTGGCCCAAGAATCTACAGTCATTCCCTAGAGCTGCATTTTTTTAAAAAAATATATGCAGCAGTTCCTTTCCTTCTTTGGTGCACCTTGTGCCATGGTTCCCTCTCCCTAAGCTGTGCACAGAGCACCACCGTGAGCACTGGTTGCCACTATTTGATTAAAATAATTCCCACATTTCTTCTCATTGAAGCTAGCCAGTAGCTAATTGCTTTGAAACATGGCTCCAAGTGGAATATGCAGTCTCTAACCTATTGGAGGAAATTAATATTTTAAATAGTCTCCAATGGACAATTTACTTGATTTATTTCCTCAAGCACTTTAAGCAAGAGTGTCCAAAGTACAGCTCTTGAGCCAGCAGCTGCCTGGAGAGGTTGCAGTGTAGCTTGGCAATTGTCCATTTATACAAATGTGGGCTCGAGGTGGAGTAGGGCCAGCACGGAGTTTTCCTTCTAATTGGTCAAGGTAATGTGTAATTCGTGTAGTCTCTCCAACGTAGTCTGTTGCCACGTTGAAGGTCATTTGGGCAGCCTGCCTCTGTTTGCATGCTGTCCAGTTAGATGTGGCTGTTAAATGAGATCTTGTTTTGATGAGAGTCCAGATGCTGACTCATTTGATTGTCTTTGTTCCCCCGTTGTCTTCCGGGATCAACAACTTAGAGGGTTATTTGATTTGATGTTAGTCTTCTTTCTCATCATCAATCACAACAAAAGCAAACATTTTGCCTTTTTCACCTCTGTTCTTCTTTATTACAGCTGAGGACACTGCTGACAGGATGGAAGCTTTCATTACTGATCATCGTCATACCAAAGGTGAATGGAAAATGAGTGAGAGTAAACAGCTCGTGAAACCCCAAGAATGGAAAGCATTGTCTGCAATTAAGTATGTTAATGCTAGCAAGGGGCACAGTAAGTACAGTGTGATTAGATGAGTGTCAAAGGTTTTCTTCTCAGATTTTGCAGCTGATGTACAAAGCTGTCATGTGTCCTGTGAAATTAGTCACCTAAGCAGTCAGTGCATATAAACATAAACTTATAGATTTGACCAGGGGTAGAAAGAAAAGAAAGGGAAGCTGAGCATGATTGACAGAGGAGAGACTGACTGTGGCAGCTTCTTTAAGCACAAAGCGGGGCTCTTTAATGAGATACAGTCTGATTATAATATTATTTATTTATTATTTTACTGCTACGCATTCTTTCATGGACATTTCAAAGTGGTAGGCACTGCAAGATAAAAAAGGTTAAAAAATACAACAATATGTTAAAAATAAAATAAACTGTGACTGGTTCATTTAATACAATTTCTTGAAATGTGTTTTCAGGAAGAGCTGAAAACAGCACAGTGTTGGCACCTGCGTGACCTCCAGAGAAATTGAGCCAGTGCCCTCGGCTCTTTTCCTGGTGGACTCCTGCTGGGCCATAACTCCACAAGGAACCACTGGAACTTATTTTTTGTTTCCCTCTGTCACCACTCTGGTTGTAAGGGGGAAAGCACTTGTTCAAGTAACCTGGATACAACTTATTTGGGAGTTTATTCACGACTACTCAAATCTTAAACTTCAGCCATGAGTGAAAAGGCAGTGAGTGCAGTTCCCTCAGCAAAGGAGTTGTGTTCTGCAAGTGGGCAGCCCCTGACAACAGCTGAGCTGCTGCATTCTGCGTTAGCTCCAGGTTCTGAGGAGGCCATCAGGGCAGCCTCAAGGATACCCCCATGCAGATGAAATTGCTGAGTCTTGAGGTAGTGCCTGTACCATTGAGGACACTTGGATGACAGGCTCTGCCTACGTGACAGAGGCCATAGCTGGTGAACGAATCAAAACTGGCAAAAGGCATTCTGAGCCACTGTGGTCACCTCAGACTCCAACCACAAGGCTGGGTCGAGGAGTGCACCTGACCTTTTAAAAGGAATACGACTCTCATTCTGAACAGGCAATGAACCTCTCTTCTGGGCTCAGGAACCACTCAACCTCTGTCTTGCTCAGATTCAGATTCAGTTTATTGGCTGTTATCAAGTCCAACGCTGATTCTAAGCAATGAGCCAGCACAGCCACACCTGAGTCAGATGTCACAGGGAAACAAAGCTGGATGACATCAGTATGGCACTTGGCTCCAGATTCCCTGATGCCTTCTCCCTCACTGACCTGAAAGACCAGATGGTACCCTGCAGAACCTCATCGCTCAGTTATCAAGGGCTGAGAAATTGTCACTCAGTGTTACTCTCTGAAATTGACTGTGATGGTAAGACCAGAATGACTGTGAAGCCCAGCCCATGGAGCTGATCCAGGAAAATGCCATGGTCTGTGGTATCAAAATTCAGTGAGAGTAAGCAGAATTAATAGGACTGCAAGCTGTCTGTCCTGCTCTTCATAATGGTTATTCATCAGGGCAACCAAAGCTATTTTGGTCCTATAATCAGATCAAAACACAGTTTGGAATGGGTATAGAGAATCAGTATTGTCCAAGAATTGCTCCTCCATGATGTTTTCAAGAATGGTCTCTAAGAAAGTACTTGTTACGACTGGGCAGTAGTTGACCACTGGGACCAAAATGAGTTCCTTCAGTGGTTGTCACCCTCCTCCCTCCTTAAGAAAAGCAGAAAGCACCCCTTTCAGTAAAGGTGAATTTACTATTCCCCAACCCCATCCAGTCATCAACATTTTATGAGAAGCATAAAGTCCTGCCTGGCTGGTTCAGCTTAAGAGTTCTTTCAAAACTCTTTCTCAGCCAGCATCCTGCTTCCACGGGGATCTTCTGGAAAGATCAGAAGCACAGTCAGATGCTATGTTTATGAATATGAGATGAATGCCAGCCACTGGTATTCAGTGACACACTGCCTCTCAGCATGGAGGCTTCATAGGACTATAATGACTATGAGCTTACCTGTCCCCATGGATCCTGAAGCAGGAATGCACAGATCTGTCACTGTCCTCTCTGTCAGGTATTTCACGCATAATTCAGTTTCTTCCACAGTAACCTGTGAATCATTTTCTTGTACCTAAATAAAGATATGCATTTTCTTCCAATATATGTATTTAAATGCATATTTTACAAGTTTCAACTGGAAAAGGCTATCTTGCAACATTCAGAATAGTGTTCATTCCTATGAATTTGCAAGTTCTCTTCCATATGTTAGTCTCGGAGGGGAAGACTAAAAACTAGCATGGAGAGCCATGGCAGGGAAAGCACCACCTGCAGTATTTGCATGTGGCAAGTCAGTGCCAAAGGCAGAGGAGCTGGGCCAGCAGAAATGTGCCAGCTCCGTGCTTTTTATTATCTCCCAGGTAAGGTGGGCTATTGTACTTTTGACTCAAATGCAGCTATGGGTGGAATTGTGCCTGAGTCTAGAGGGAACGCAGGACAGAATGGCATCCGCATTCATCTGCACGCTGCCTCCGGATGTCTTTGTCCTGGACGTGGCCACAAGGCAAGGCTGTGATGCTGTGTGCTTTCAACATTCTTTCCTCTTCTATTCCCCTATTTGCATACAGTGCCATCTATTACAGCCTTACACACCCTAATGAGCTTTCTCCCTCTTCCCCCATTTCTTTACACACATCATTAATATCCTGGATTAATTTATTTTGGTTAGAGTAAAAGTCTATGGTAAAGATTTTCATTGGAAAAGCTACATGGGATTATTACATATCTGAGCTGCAGTGACAAAATGGCCAGGGGGGTCGGGGTGTGTGTGTGTGTGTGTGTGTGTGTGTGTGTGAGAGAGAGAGAGAGAGAGAGAGAGAGAGAGAGAGAGAGGGAGAGAGGGAGAGAGGGAGAGAGGGAGAGAGGGAGTATGACTTAGCTGCTCTTTTCCAGTACTAAGGAACATGTACCTGTACAAAGAGATTTCCATCTACAAATTATATGTTGGATAAGGATCATAATGGAAGCTTGATCCTTTTCATTTAGAATGAGGAGCTTGAGGGGCAACCTGGACTACATCTTGAGGCATTAAAGTCTAGTGGCTTTCATGCTGAGTTCCTGTGGGAAGTATGGAAAAGGAAAGGAAATTTTGTCCTAGCTGTTCCTTCCTCCTCTCAGTCCTTTCCCCCACCAGTTGGTTTCTTTCACCCCTCTGTGGTTTCAGACCTGTTTGTGCAAAGTACAAGCAGGTGTGGTGAATTTCAGGAGGAAAGAGGCTAGAAGAAGAAGGGATATGCTCAAACTTCTATCTTTTCCTGCTCCTTTTCTGCTTCAAAGCACTCCAGCCCATGCCCAGCAGAGGTTCTGTGGAGGAGAAAGAGCCGCCAGTGTTTCATTATACGGGCCTGCTGTGACTGCCCTGCCTGATACAACTTCTCCACTTACGTAACCTTTCCCTTGCACTGAAAAAACACCACTTCTATTTCACCCCCGATAAATGCCAAACACCTTTGAATAATAAACTTTAAAACATGTAATTAGAAGACTAATAAATCTTGCCTTAATGAGAAACAGCTGGTTTGATATGTTATGCCTTCAGGGTTGTCTTATGCTTGGCACACAATTTTGGGACTTCCAACATTAATTATATTTTAAAAGAGTAAAAGTAACAGAAAGCCTTGGCCAAAGCTCATATTTGCTCCCTGCTTAACTTTTTAATTAACTTTACAGTTAATGGTTTAATACTAAGAAATGACACTTGGATATCATTTTAGGTCATGCAGCAGTTCTGCCAGCTATTACTAAGTGTGCCAACAGACCTTGCTTTCCTGGAGTGCTTTGCATTGACCGTAAGCCTCCAAGCGTTGGATACCTCTGCGGGCGATGTCCAGCAGGTTTCTTTGGAAATGGGCGGATCTGTACAAGAGCATCTAGACCAGGTACCTTTCTTTTATTTGAGATTTTAAAGATTTAGAATTGCTCTAGCTAAGCTTGTTATCAGCTTGGGTATAAGCATGCATTGCAACATATATCTATGCAATGCTGGCAATATTTCACTCTAGTATAGGATCGAAAGAACCCATCTTACAGAAGGTCAAGCATGGTATTTCTACCTGCCCAAACAGAGCACTCTAGGATTTTAAGAAATAGATGCCATTTTCATGCCACTTCATACCCTTCTTTTGAGTAGCAAGGGACTGCAGGTGGCGCAGTGGTTTCAACCGCTGTGCTGCTGGGCTGGTAGATCGAAAGGTCGCCGGTTCGAATATGCATGATGGGGTGAGCTCCCGTGCTCTGTCCCAGCTCCTGCCAACCTTGCAGTTTGAAAGCATATAAATGCAAGAAGATAAAAATAGGTACCACTTCGGTGGGAAGGTAACAGTGTTCCGTGCACTTCGGTGTTTAGTCATGCCGGCCACATGACCATGAAAACTGCCTGGGGACAAACGCTGGCTCCTGCAGCTAGGAAATGGAGATGAGCACCGCCCCCTAAAGTCAGACATGACTGGACTTTAATGGGGAAACCTTTACCTTTTTAAAAAAGTTGCAAGGAGCCAAGTCAGGGTGTAGGATGGATGGGAAAGCACCATGATGTGTTTTTCAGCCAAAAACTCTCCTACAGCCAAGGCACTGTGACTCGTTGTGTTCTTGTGATCCAAGTTGAGCCGATCTCAGCTTGTGCCATTGGTACACTTGTGCAGATGATAGTGCAGCTTCTCCATAAGCTTTCCTCACCATTTCCAAAGTTTCTGATGCACTTTTGCCCAATTTCACACAATTTTATAGTAGACCGCTAGATTGCACTACAGTCTATATTCTCTGAAAAATAGGGCTTGGAATCCCTATTTCCTTGGCAGAAGTAACAAAAGGTTTTGCAGAGATGGAAAGGACCTTACCCAACGCATTTCTTCATGCAGGAGACCCAGAGCTAGAACATTCCCAGTGCTCTGATTGAAGATCTCTACCAAGTTAAGGACTGCCTGCTCCCAAATAATCAGTCCCATTGCCCCATTGTTCTTACCACCAAGAAGCTTCTCCTATGATTCTAAGGCCCATTAGATAGTTGGAGAATGAAGGCATTCTGTTTTTGCAACCTGTTGATTAATTCCTTGAACAATGAACCTGGAAAAGATGAGTTGAAACCTAGGAATAGAAAATATAATAATGATGAATGCAGAAGTGTTAAAAGTCAAGTCTCTGACTGTACTTTCTTTCTCAAGCATCATGGATTCATATGTTTTATTTATATGCAAGAACCTCTTTACATTGAAGCCATAATGAGTGGTGATTGTACCAACTACAAGGAAAACATGACATTTGCTGTTGCCACTCTGCCTCCTTCTTTATTATCTATTTTCCTGAGATCGCTATATGAAGGTTACCCCTCCATAAGTAAAACAGGAGATGCCCATGTCAATGGCAGAGAGCAAATACTAATTCAAACAACTCAGTGGTATGTTGCAGAAACTCCACATCTGGGAGTTCTCAGATATTATTGCTGTAGTCATCTTTGATTTTGGATTATGAATAGAACTATGTGATGGTAAGGAAGAAATAACCTCTTGATCTTGGGCATATGGCAGAAATAATACAAATGATCTCATAAAAGGGTATAAAATAGCTACCAGTAAAGCCTTTCCCCCCAGCTTTTAGAAATCCTTACAATTATCCATAGTTCTTTAAGGATAAACAGATAGTTTCCTTTGCTGCCAAGTTTTTCTAAACCAATTTCATCAAAGAGCTTGACAATCATTTATTTAGAATTTTGGGGAAGGTTTTATCTAATTGCTCGAGTTAGTTTTTCTCCATTTGTTTGTTTTCTTCATTCTATACAACTATTCTGCAAAAGCAGCCCTTAATTCAGTATCCCAGGATTGATATCATTTGCTGAAAAGCTCAACAAATCTGAAAGTGGTGAACTTGAGAAAAATGAACCCCAATAATTTAGTCAAAAGCTTGTGTTTTTTGTTTTAACCCCAAAATGAGACCTTTTATCTAGAGTGTCACAAAGAAAATGCAAAAACTTCAATTAATCATGAGTTCCACATATTGTAAAAGGAGCTTCTTGGATTGACAGTTTCCTCTAATGAACACTATTTTCTTAGTACAGAGAAACAGTGTTCATTATAGGAAACTGTCTGTCCAAGAGTCCATTTTTGCAGAGTTGTGTGTGTAATTCATGATTAACTGAAGTTTTCCCAGGAACAGAGCATGTCTCCCTCCCAACCAAGGATACAACTAACTTCTCTGGATTAAGGCTCAATTTGTCAGTCCTCATCCAGACCATTGCTGTCACCAGGCACTGATTCAGAAACGTCTTGAAGTGAGGGAGGGGCAAAAGGAAAAATTGAAGCTGCATGCCCTCTACATATTTCAGACAGCACATCCCAGATCTTTGGATAATCACTCCATCTGTTTGCATGTAGGTGTCAAAAATGGTAGGGGACAGATCTGATACCTGGCTATCTGGCAGTCCAGAAGGATATCATGGCCAATGGGATGGAATGCCGACCAAAGTTTCAGCAGAACCTGGACATACTTACCCTTGTTTAGCTTTTGTCATACATTAGGTTGCCACAAATTTACCAAAGTTCAAAGCTAGATTGTAATCTTTTAAAATAATTTCACCCAAGACCCTAGAGTTGAGATGCCACTATGCATTTAAGCCCCTTGTTCCTAAATAGTTTTACCAATTATCTCAAGGCTGGCTGTCTCCTGACCGCTAAGTGTCTACTGCTCCTGCTACAGTCCTCACCCATTCATCCAATCCACCCCAGCCGAATTACTCCATCAGGAAGGGCTCAGATCAAAAGAACAAGTGACCTCACGCTACTAAGGATCTTGTCCACATCCTCAAGCTGTGCAAATTGAACTGCCAATGTTCCATTGCTATGGGGAATAATCATGCCATTCTATGCATTGCTTTAGTGTTATGTCACTGCTTCAGGATTCTTTTGCTCAGGGAAGCAGATTATTAACATGTTCTCCTTGCTAGGTTTTTCCGTCTTCCTTCATGTATACAGCAATTGTGCAGGATCCCCAGTTGCAAACAGCACCCATGCACATTGCAGTATTTCATATTACCTGATTATTGAAGTCAGTAGCTGAAATGAAAGCGAGTATAAATTAAATTTACATGCTTGAACAATTACAGTAATTTAAACTTCCATTTGAATAACTTTGCTCTGTTGAGACATATTCTTCTGGTCCCTAAACAAAAATCTTGTTTTTAAAATATCTAAGTGAATAGCCAGATTCCAAGTGACTTTCACCCTGTTCCAACAAAACGGCTTCTTGTCCATCACGTTCCCTTTTTATCAGACCGTTATGATTCACTTGTCATGATCTAAGGAACAGGAGATAAGTATTTCTTTATCCAAAAAATTCAGAGCTATATAAGTTTACCACAGTGGTGGAAAACAAAGGTGAACATTATATGGTTTGTTTTTCAAGCCTGAGAAGAAGAAAAATACTGTAGTTAATTGTAACAAGGCACTTTATTATAACTGACCACAGAATAAGGGTAAGAGTTAATCTATTTGTGAGTTTCAGTTAATGCCTTAGTTCCACAGTTTCTGAGATTTTTTTTTCTTTTTCTGGTAAAAAGAACGTTAGAACTGGAATATTCTCTCATTTGTAAATCTGAGTATTCTAATTCTGATGTCTGCAACTGGGTGCTTTTTTAAATAAGGAGGAAAATGAAAATTTCATGGAGGTTGTTTATAAAGCCATGTACCCCTGAGATGTATTGGATGACAATGGGAGTTGTAGTCCAACCTTTCTTGGGGGAGGTCTAGGGGCTGGGAAAGACTGTAGAACTTTTTATTTTTGCCGCAAAAAGACATAATTTTAGAAAACTGTTTATTCCTGCAGACTTCAGATCCTTTATTCCAGAGTAGGGAGGCCACGTGTTCTGCTTTAGAAAGACAGTCCTCTGTCTGAAGGTGTCCTCTGTTTGACGGACTGTTCAGCCGGGCCTCATCAAAGCCAAGGGTCCCCAAGGAAGAGGAGCAACAGGGGCCTTGCAGGTGCTTCTGCACAGTGAGCCCCTGGACATCAGCGGGAGTGAGCATACGGGCCACTTCACCTTTTCCACTCTGCTGAGATCCCTTGTATTTCTGCTTAAATACTGGTGCAAATTTCTAAATTTTGTACCCATGTGCAAATTTGGACCCATGTGCAAGGGTTTGCCAAGCCAGTGTCCTCTTTCCTCCTGATTTTCATTGTTGCAGAAGTGACCACCATACTCCAGAGTGCTCCATTCGGCGGAGACTGTTCTCAGGCCCAGCAGCTGGGGACCCTTTGCCATGGCTGACACCTGACCTGGACCCATTTCCATCCTGCCCCAGGGTTGCTGCTGGTGCCTGTCAGCCTTTGGGGCCCCTGCCAGCACAGGGGCTGGCTCTTGTAGTGTTGCAGCTGCAGCTGACTGTCGGCTCCTCTATCCCTCCCTTCCTTCTTTCTCAGTAGTGACAGTGTGATAGAATGAGCTCCAAGATCTGCCGGGCAAGCATCTTCTCCCAGCCTGGTGCCAGCCCTGTGACCTCTCGTGCACGTGATTTTGAGGTTCATAGCCACAGAATATAGACCAGTTTTTACAAAATGTAGATTTCCCCAGAACAATGCAAACACTTGTGTGATGCAACACACACAGATTGAGAGAGAGAGAGAGAGAGTATATCCAAATACTTGGCAGTTCTATTATGCTAAGTGGTGAACGGTGCAAGTATTACTAATAAGTAAATGCGATTTAGAACAAGCAGCAACAAGAATCTAGTGCTGGTTTCCTAGAATGTTTTATGTTACTCTTTTCATTCACGGAAGGAGGGGGCTGCTTGTTGTTGTTTTCCTAAATGAAGTTTCTCTGGATACCCAGCAGGCACATGATTCTCTGTATTGGATCCTATGCTAACCACCTTGGGAAGGCTCCTGCCTTAAA